AGGGGAGTGGAAAAGAACCCACAAAACAAACTTACTCTAGCTGAGGTTGGTAGCAAAAAGTACGCGTTCGTTTGTCATAGGTGAAGTGTTGTGGCGCTGGCCTGGCTATCTTTGCAGCCGGTCTTTCCAGATGTTTTGTGGCTTCCCTCAGGCAAGATGCCCAATTCGTGATCCCTGAAAAAAAAGAGCAAAATGGAGTCTAATTGAGTTTTTAACATACTTTTTTCAAGTATTTGGCTCAAGTATTTCTAGTCCGCTGCACATCAGTGTTTTTAATGATCGGTATCTTTCATGTGATTTCTAAGTTAGTCATTATACGGATGACAATATCATAATATAAAGCCGTGTTTACTTAATTCAATTATATAAATGAAAAATTTCAAAACAATCATTATTAATTTATCTGATGTTTTATCTTTCGTTTAATTTAAGTGCCAATAAAATCATAAGTTTCATAATTGTCGGTATAAAATCAGTTCTAGAAGAAAGTTATTTTAGCACTTATAAGCTTCTTGTAAAAGTTTAAACTAAAACTATTATTATGTCGAAGACATAACGAAAAATCTATATAAGAAATATATGCTTGCAAAGCGCATTCAGTTAAGACAGCAGATCAGTTTTTATTTAAAGTATCTCATTAATTTTTACTCAGTCTGATTGCAGATATTTCGTTGTTTGCTTGGCGCAATTTTTTCTTTTGATAAGTCTTGACGCGATTTGAAATTTTTTCTTGGTGCCCGAGGTACTCTTAACTTTTTAGTTTTTTTTTTAATTCTGAGTGAAATCGAAGTTTTGTTACCAGACAATTTTTCAACAGTTATTCCAGCCTTCGCAACAATTGGGTGTTTGAAAATATGACTCCCCACCAAAATCAATCCCAAATGGGTAATTGAAAAAGTCTTTCCAATCACTTAAGTGAAAAAAAGTTATTTCTTTCGAAGCTTTCTGTTAACTTTTATCAATTGGCAGTTGTTTCCGTTGATAATTTCAAACTCAGCCCATTGACAAGCATGTGAGGCCAAAACAGGACATAAATAAGTCTTACTCAAAAACTCTACTCTTTTCCTCATCTAAAAAGTTGAGACCTCTTTCGGTCCCAGATATGAAATATAATGGTTTCACAAAAAACAAGCTTTTTCTTTTTATCAACCTAATAAAGGTGATCAGTAGCGGGCGGATTTAGGGGGGGCGGACACCCCTTCCCCTCAAGAATTTAACACCGATGCAACCCAAAGGGTCTACCTTTGGTTTTTTTTCCATTTTTAGTAGAGGTGTGAAAGTACTAGAGGTGTGAAAATTTTTAGGTGTGAAAGTTAGTCCAATTTTGAGACCTCAAATCAGATTCTTTTTAGACTCGAGGCAGGTACCTTGCTGGAACCTTACGATCAGAGTTTATAATTGTACTGATGAGCATGAAGCATGTTCTAACTGCTACAAAAACCACCAGTGTTACTCTCCAAGTCCCAGCTTTGGAACTTCCCCAAGCTGTTGAACACATAGAGAACTTGTGTCTTCTCTTCCAGCAGTGGCGGGTCGGTGAAGGCAGTGGTTGCTATCAAAGGATCCATGCTGACGCTGTCAAAATTAGTGATGTCCAACAAGAGGGTCGGAGAGGACGGCCTCCTGCAGCGACATCAGCCTACGATAATTTCCGTCAGACTGTATACCTGCCTTTTATCGACTTCGTGCTGTTAGACATGCTGGAAAGGTCTTGGCACCTGCCGTGTCTTGCTCCAAAATGTGCAAGCTATTTCCTCGGTGGATTTCGGACAAAGATACATTAAAGAAGATTTTGATGACTTGGTCGATCTGTATCAGAACGTACTGCCGGATGGCGACTTTGGGAAAAAGTTCCAAGTATGTAGGAATATGCGGCGCTTCCCCCCTTACAGCGAAATACCGGAAATTTTCACTGATGTCCTAAAAATCTGTCATATGCCAACAATGCCAGTTGTGTACGCCCTGCTCCAAATTGGAGCAGCCCTTCCAGTAACAGTTTGCACTGCCGAACGCTCTTTCTCCAGTATGAAACTGCTATAGAACTACCTTCGATCTAATATGGAAGAAGATCGGAAATCGAGCTTAGCTTTAATATATATCCAAAGAAGTAGAAATAAAGCTTCATGATGTCATAGACAGATTTGCCGCAAAAAATCGCAGACTCAATTTTGTAAAAACTTGTTTAAATTTTGTCGACTTTTGAATTCAATTTTTGCTACTGTTTTTCCTAAAATCCCCCCTCGGAAAAATCATAGATCAGCGCTTGAATGTGACCCTGTTTTTCGCATCATATACAGCTAGAAACTGTTTTTCAAGGGGCTTTTTTGCCCATTCTGGTAGAATTGTTTTCGGCTTCAATCAGGGGGGTTTAAACAACTGCATTGTTGATGAAGCTTATGCATTTTGGACCAACTGCATTGTGGATGCAATTAGTCCACTTTGGGAATAGATGAATTATTTTAAAACAACCTTGTTTCAGTAAATCGTAGAATTTGAAACAAAGAGTTATTTTGTTGCATGGGACAATGTACATGGTAGATTCATGACTAAAGACTAAAGAGTCTTCAGTAACAAGTTTATTTTAAATTTAAAAAGGAAGTAATTTAGCTTTTTCGGCCATCCGGGAATGCAGCCTCATTGGTACGCTTCTAGAACCTGGGTATCATTTTTGTGAACCTATGGGGGAATGATAATTTCTATTGTAGCCAATTGGGGATAATTAACGCCCTCTATAACGAGCTTTTATAGATTGAATCTGGCTCTGTAATTTTTCTAACTCAAAGTGAGGCTGCCAGTGGCGTGCGCAGAATTTTTTTGAGGGAAGGTGGTTTTTCGAAAAACTTTGAAAATTTTGCCGATGTTTTTTTTAGATCGAACAATTTCATTTTCCGAGCTCTCCGAAAATACTATACGAACCCTATTTTGTCAAAATTTTTCTGCGCCGCAAAATTTTGTCAAAAAAAGGAGAAATTTAGAAAAAAGCGTTTTTAGGCACTTCTTGAAACATTTTGAAAAATTGCGTTTTTTCGGCTCGCACTTACCGATTATTGGAGAATACTGATTAATGGAGAATAGTTCGAGAGAAACGAAACGAAACAACGGCTCTGTGGCTAGAACAACAACAGCAACCTTTTTACTAACATTGGCTTATCACAAGTCCTCAATCGTTTCTTAGCACGCAAACCCAGCCACTTCCCATCGCACACTACGATCACACTGTCATCCGCTAGAGGGAAAACTCACCATACGACACATATATCACCAAAAAACTCATGGAAACTAATTATCTTTTCGATTTCTGATTAAAATTTATTTTGCTCATCTCAAAAAACGCGTCATTAACTGTTCACAGAAGTCATGTTAAATGCAAAAGTAACCCACACACATACCTATTATCGTTTCATGCAAACAACTTTCGTACATAACAGTTAGAACATGCAAGGTTTTCCTGATTCGGGCAATGAATTTTTCTTTATGCCCGGGTCATGTTCCACGACAAATTTTTCGACTTTGTTTCTTTCTCGACCAAAAACTTGTAGTGTGAACAAGGTTTTAAGTCGCAGACAGTTTTTGGAAAAAAATTTTTATCTCGGTCACGATGGTCAAAAATTCAACGAAACAAAAATGCTCAAAATGGGCTAATCTTGTCGGAAAACTCCTCAAGCCACTAAAATCTTGAGCAAATTTTGATTGGTATATCAACCCAGGTATTGTTTTTGGTCGCACCTGTCGCGGATACAATACCTCGGTGTTCAAAAACTGGAAATATTATATTTTGGTCGCGGCTGTGTGGAGGTATACAATTTCGGTTGCCGTGGTCTAGAAAAACCCAATTTTGGTCGCGACTGTCTGGAAATACCAAACTGCGGTCGCGATCATCTGATCAGAAAGCCACAAATTCGAATCAGGTGTTGAACTAACCCTTACTTGTAAATGAGTTTGCGGAAATTGATCTACGAGGTAACTACATGTTTTTTGTCCAGCCTCCGCAGCCACTACTCTAGACATACTAACATACACAATTTTTTATGTGTTACAATCCTATTTTTCTCATAACTTTGCTGTTACAACCACGAACTCCAAAGCCAACATGATTCTTATGTTGACGAACACAAACTAATTCCCACACTCTCTTGTTTTTGTTTTTACAATTTCAAAAACCCACTCCAGGTATCACTCTCTATATTAGAAGACGATGGTTTTTATTCACCAACTCACTAATGCTACACAACTAAACATTTTTACTAACACTAGCTTATCACAAGTCCTCAATCGTTTCATAGCACGCAAACCCAGCCACTTCTCATCGCACACTTCGATCACACTGTCATCGGCTACATGGAAGATTCACCATACGACACAGATATCACCAAAAAAAATTATGAAAACTAATTATCTTTTCGATTTGCCTAATAAAAAATAAACCATAAAATTGAGTATGCGCTAAAAACATCAAAGCAATTGAATCAGACTTTCGTCTCTTTGATAGTTTCTGATTAACATTTAATTTGCTCATCTCAAAAAAACGCGTCATTTATTGTTCACAGAAGTCAGGTTAAGTGCAAAAGTAACCCAAACACATACCTATTATCGTTTCATCCAAAAAACTTTTGTATAAAAAAATCTCACTGTCACGTAACCCACACCACTGTTATCTCACTATTGGAAAAAATTCATGGCACGAAATTAAATAATCTAATCCAGGATACTCACCACGATTTTAATGTTACTACAGAAGAACCCAAGATCATCAAGGCATTGGAGCTTCTTTGGCCACTACTACGCATTAGAACACAATCACCAATCATAGAAACAAACTTTTCCAATGGAGTATTCTCTGACCCCAATTTTACATATGAATGAACATTCATTAACCATTTTAATAAAAGAATATTGACAACCATCTTTCTTTTAGAATTCATCAATAGTTTTTAAGATCGAAAAAAAACGAAAAAAAAAACGAATCTAAAGTTTTTCAATTAATAATGCTACCCGATTTCAGTGTTTTCTAAAGGTGAAAAAAACTATAAAAACGTCGTAAAATATTAGTTTTAATGCAAAGAAATTGTCATACAAGGTAATAAACTGATAAATGAGTAACAAAGTAATGATAAAAATAACATTCTTATGCGTGCGCAATATTGTAAGCTCTCTAACTCGCCCCTTGGTATCGCCAACATTTCGTAAATTCTCTTTGAGAGTCTTGAAAATTTCGCATGACAATTGAGGTAAAAAAAAATGGATTTCAGTGAATAAATGTACTATTAACAAGCACAGGAAAGTCCAACTAAACCCAAACCAGATTAAAATTGGATGAAAAATTCTTTTAAAACACAAATTAACTTTTTATTAAGACCACATGAATTTACTTAAAGACACAATCACAAAAATAAAAGAGAAAACGCCTGACACAAAAGAAAGAAAAAGTTATAATCAAGAAAAGACTCTACTCAAAGAGACACTCACAGGTATACTCCCAATAGCATCGTCCACCTGTCATCCTGAACAAGAACGTCCTGAGCATGCTCTGCATTGCTAGAAAACAGGCTGAGACTCAACTCACACACTTTTTCTTACTAAGAGTGGCTCTAGATTGATAATTTCTTCAAAATAACCGACCTAATTAGAAAGCTTTGGCGAGAATAACCAATAAAATCTTAACTAAAACTGAATGACTACAAATCCAGATATATAAAAAAATCCATAAAGCAAGAGAAACGAGAAGCAAAAGAGAGAAGAAATCTCGACGACATTTCGACTATTGAATGGCAAATCTTGCTTGCCGCAGTCACAACCCTCACAGGATATAAAGTTTATAGCCGAAATCGCAGCAAAAGCATCCATTGGAAAAGAACAATGGTGAACTCGATGTTTAAACTCAAACATACTTATCCATGTCACTTGGCACTTCACTCAGATAAGTCAACCATTTGTCTCTTTGTCTTTTTTTGGATTCCCAATAATCTCTTAATCCCAATCAGTCTTATCACATGTATTTCGCTGACACAAACAATCTTTACTCTGCTCAGAGAATCTAGAAGACCAACCAATCATCCTTTATTAGAAAAACTCTGATTCAAAAAACGTCCTAAGCAACAGATGGATGGAACGTGTTCAAAGATAGTATTGAAAATATTTATTAGATACCTCGATATTTATCACTGTAAAATATTCAAAACTAACCAATCATGATCCATTACTAAAACTTACGATAAGTTGTACAGCTGAAACCATTCTTAGTTTGAGCCAGAAAAATTAATGCATGTTAGACATCCGTTGCCTCTTTCCCTCCTCTAACCTCGCAAGAATACCAGTGTATACTAGATCTATTGAGACAAGGAGATATAAGACTAACAATAAGATTGGTATTAGGTTAAGAAGTCGCACGAACCTATCCGGTCAAAAATAAGATAGCGTGACGAGCAGACGGTGTACCTTATCCGAAGTTACTTTTTGAGAAGACCACCCCGGATAAGCTCATAATTTAGGAGAAGCTAACCTGAACAGAAGCGAGTGTCGGTGCCGTTTGTATCATAACAGACGGAGTCAGAAGTTTCCTCCCGTGGTTCAGCAGAAACCGAAGTGCAACGCTCGTAAAGCACGTCATTCGAGCTGGCCCGAAGCAAAAACTGGGCGAAAAGGAAGATAAAAGAAATGAAATAGGTTCGAAGCATGATTTTTGGCTTTTGCTTTACAAACTGTAACAATTTTTGTTGACGGTTACCGTATATGATTTAAACGAAGCCGAGATTTTGTATTAACGAAAGTATTGTTTTTAAAAACTTGTAGTTAAACAACCACGCTTTGGAGAAAAATAGCTTGTTTGAAAAATAAAACGTTACGAAAAAAAAACATATTTTTCTACTGATATAGTATATTTAAAGCTGCAGTTAAAAATGACGATGATGCGTTTGAATCATCTCATTGAAAATTTCTGTGTTCACATTCAGTTGAGTATCTTACACAGCAAAAAAAAAACGATATATTTGTAATGTTCAAGTTATATGCGTCTAGACTCTTCGTTGATGCTTTGTTTCAATCTCAGCCAACATTTTGAACAAATATGGCTTTTTTCATACTCTTCGAAAAAACTCTTTGAAATCATCGGGGTAGAAATCAAATATTACAAACATGACAGAATCTAGAACAAATTTCTAGCTATTTTTTCCATTTATTACACCATTGGAAAAGTTTTACCCAAAACTTAGGAGATATTGAAGACTTTACTTAGTTACCAAAGTTTCAAAATTTAATTCTTCAATTTGTTCAGCAGTAATCAAAAAATCATACTTGAGTTAATAATAAAAGTTGTCCGCTCATGTTCTTAAGTCCATTCTCAAGACAAAAGGATTGCCAGGTCGAAATAAACCACCTTTTTTTGCTCCGATATTTTAAAAAATGCGCAAAATTGTCATTTGAACTGATCGCTTTTATTAAGTCAATTTATGGCGATCGAAATTGTATATTTTACCAAAAAAAATTATAGCTCATTGAATATACTGACTCTTTGAGTTCAAATTTTGAAATAAATAAATGAATTACCAGCAAAAATATTTTGTAGAACTCAGACGTTTTGAAAATTGCCAATTTGGCTGAACTCTGGATTTTGAGGAAAACTTGAGAAAAATTATTAGGTACGTAATTTTTATTTTTAATAAAATTGTATTTTATTAAAAATACAATTCGATGTCGATTAAAGGGCAGTCGAAAAACCAAAAATTTATTTGATATACGAGCAGTACTGATTTTATTAGACTGATTTGTCCTGGTTTAATTCCAATGAATGATTCGAAATGCATCGGTTTTTCGAAAAAAAAAATTGAAGAGAATCACTTTATCCATTTTTGAATATGCCTAAAAATACAAGCAAAACAATTTTACTCCTCGTTTGAATCTCATTGTCTAATTTCAGACAAAAATTGAAACATTAAAATTGAAACAAGACTGCTCGTATCAGGGCAAAGCCCTGAATGTTCCGACTGTGTTTTAAGGTTTATGGAGCAGCAGTAATAACATAAAAAATTTAATGAAATAAAATAAAATGAAAATTTTTTTTCTCCAAAATTTGAAATTTTTTATGGAAATCATCCCCCCACACGCCATGTAAAGAGCAAAAAATTTAGATTTCGTTCCTTGTAACAAATCAATTATGGCAAATAAGCTTCGTTCAACCAATTTGGAACGATTTATAAGACGGATTAAACCTCTGCTTACGCGTTAATAGCGCGAATTATATCGCGCGTTAAATGTCCCATATTGGTCAAAATGGCCGAAATGGCAATCTTTAAACCCTCATAACTTTATGAAAAATGATCACAGGTGAAATATCTTTTCAAATTTAAGTTCAGGACAACAATTGCTTTCGAATGATATACAAAAATTCCGTCAAAAATGGCTAGTTAAAAAGTCGAAATTTGTCTGAAGAAAAAAAACCCACCCCGAGCACAAAAAATTGTTCCGACTTTGTTGTATCGAAAGTCGGAACAACAACAAGTTTGTCTCAGAATGAAGCCGTTGCGGTTTTTTTAAAGATTGCTATGTGTATTATTGTTTTTCACTATTCTTTTTTGTTTGTTTTTAAGTAGATGTTTCTTTGAAACTTTGCGCACAACTCAACGTAGATTCAAAAGTGACTCGGAAATCTGTTCTCAAAATAAGCCAACAAATACTCAATCCCGGATTACATAGCCATAGAAAAACGTTAAATTTTCTGCTAGTCTTTAAACTTTAAAGTCTTTTGAAAACGCGAACTGAACACGTGCTAGATATCTTTCCAGGAAACCCAAGAAGTCAGTAATTTTCAATTACAAATATATGGTTCTTGCTTTAGACGCCAGAAAATCAATTTTATGATCCAACTAAAAAACAATTTTTCATGATAAAATGATAGATAGTTTTTTGGGTATAACGTAGACCAGACTCAATTTTCAACACAAAAGAACCAAAGATTCGTAAGATCGTAAGAAAAGCCTGAAAGAGACAAAAAAGGTCGCACGCTTTTGAGCACAGTTTTTTGAAGTAGTAGCAAACTATCGACATTTGAAAAACTACATTTTATCCTAGAGCTATGCAAAGTTCAAATTGTATTTATCATGGCCAATCTACTCATGCAGCTTCTCTGCAAAAGTCTTCTCAGTTTTCTTTTTGTTTTTCTTATTAAAAACCTTTGGTTAGTTTTGAACTGAGGCAGGTTCTAAAGTTTTTCAATTTTCAAAACATAGCCAAGAAACCATGAAAATATAGGCCTGATTTTTCGCAAAATTTTTCAAAAGCCAGCCTCGGACTCTCGGAAATTGGACTCTCAACGAGCTCCAAGAAATCAATACCTGCAAGACTTGATTTGTTTTTCACCAATTTATTTGTTATTTTTTTGCAAGAAAATAAAAAATGCAAGCTTTTATTAAAACAAAAACTTTTGTACAACTGAAAAACTTTGTTCTAACAGTTCTTCAGATTTTCGCAAAATCGAAAGGACTGAGCTCGTTGAAAACCCTGAAGAATACACAATTCGCCGAAGAATATACAATATACTGTCGATAACAACATGTTCACTCTTACAGTGGCTAAAGAGATTCCAAATTTCTAAAACTTTTGCAAAAGAAATGAACTGTTTGTAAAAAAAGAGCCTTACTTTTCTATCTAATCCAAAATAAGTATACATAATGTTTACACAATTTCTCGAAACTGTTTATCCAGTTTTTTGACAACTATGCTCTATAATTTGTTTTATTTTGACTTTTTAAATTTCAGTATCGAATAATTTTCTATTGAATAAAACCTAATTTGTAAAAATGTGCATTTTACTTTCAATTTTGCTCGATTTATTTCACTTATCACAGTGGTTTTATGTGGGAGACGCCCCCTTAGAGATCCGACCTCTCTCTGCCCGGAGGGTCTCCCCTTGTTGCTTTTGTATAACATCAAATTTTAGCTGGCCGAATAAGATATTTTCTAGGGAGCTTTTGTGTCAATTTATAGTAATTTTCAATGGGATCTCACTGGAAAAAAATGATTTATCAGTCGAAACCTTCCAAAAAATGCCTATAAATTTTTTTTTCGTTTTTTTTTGAAAAAGTCATCATTTTTTGAAAACGCGGCCTAGAGATGTGCTCGATAAATTTCCAGGAAACCCAAGAAGTTGGTAGTTTTTCATTACAAATAAATGGTTCTTACTTTAGACGCCAGAAAATCAATTTTACGATCTAACAAAAATTTTCAAAAAACAATTTTTCATGATGAAATGATATATAGTTTTTTTGGCTCTTTTCCAATTCCCCCCTTTCAAATTCAATACTGAAAAATCTATTTAACATTGTCCTAATGCAATGAAATTTGGCGTGGTGAACAAATCGACAATTCTGAACAGATTAGTTCTTCATACTTTACAGCGTAACGTCACGCAGATAGCCTTAATAACACCAAAAAACAAACATAAAACTCGGTATTTTGAAAGGGGGACTGGGAAAGAGCTGTTTTTTTGTGTATAAACGTAGACCAGACTCAATTTTTTTACACAAAAGAACAAAACCAAAAAATCAAACTGACTGTTTCGTGTTGGGCCAAAGATTGTTTTTGAATTTTTCAAATGGTAAGATATGCCTGAAGGAGATGAAAAAGGTCGCACGCTTTGTTTTTTGAAGACGAAGCTAACTATCGACATTTGGAAGACTACATTTTATTCTAAAGCTATGCAAAAAACAAATTATTTTATTTATCATGGCAAACGTACAAATGCAGCTTATCTGCAAAATTCTTCTCAGTTTTCTTTTTGCTTTTCTTATTAAAAAACCCTTGGTTAGTTTTAAACTTAGGCACATTCTAAAGTTTTTCTATTTTCAAAATTTGGCCAAGAAACCATGAAAATCTAGGCCTGATTTTTCGCAAGATTTTTAAAATCCAGCCTCGGACTCTCAGACTGGTCCAAGAAATCAATCCCTGCAAGACTTGATTTGTTTTTCCTAGTTTATTTGTTAATTTTTCTGCAAGAAATTATAAAATGCAAGCTTTTATTATAATGAAAACTTTTATACAATTGAAAAATTTTATTCTAACGGATCTTGAGATTTTCGCAAAATCGAAAGGACTGAGCTCGTTGAAAACCCTGACAAATATACAATTCGCCCAAATATTATATACGGTCGATAACAACATGTTGACTCCTACGGTGGCTAAAGAGATTCCAATTTTCTAAAACTTTTTGCAAAAGAATTGAAATGTTTGTAAAAAAATGCCCTACTTTTCTATCTAATCCAAAATAAGTGTACAAAATATTTACACAATTTCGCAAAACCGTTTATTAAGTTTTTTGACAACTATGCTCTAAAATTTGTTTTATTTTGGCTTTTTAAATTTCAGTATTGAATAATTTTCTGTTGAATAAAACCTAATTTGTAAAAATGTGCAATATTTTACTTTCAATTTTGCTTGATTTGTTTCACTTATCACAGTGGTTGATTTATGTGGGAGACGCCCCCTTAGAGATCCGACCTCTCTCTGCCCGGAGGGTCTCCCCTTGTTGCTTTTGTATAACATCAATTTTTAACTGGCCGAATGAAATATTTCCTAGGGAGCTTTTGTGTCAATTTATAGTAATTTTGAATGGGATCTCACTGGAAAAAAATGATTTATCAGTCGAAACCTTCCAAAAAATGCCTATAAATTTTTTTTTCGTTTTTTTTTTTGAAAAAGTCATCATTTTTTGAAAACGCGGCCTAGAGATGTGCTCGATAATTTTCCAGGAAACCCAGGAAGTTGGTAATTTTTCATTACAAATAAATGGTTCCTACTTTAGACGCCAGAAAATCAATT